ATTGCTACCACATCATATCAGTTTTGTGTCATTCTTACCTTGCCTGACAAATGGAATTCTATTATGTTTTCCTCAGTCTGTTTTAAAAAATATATAGTTTTCAAGGTGATGTGAGCACTTAGTAAGTTTTTCTCTTTTGTTTTACATCATGTAACAAGTGTGTTGTGGCATCATTTTGGAAATCACATCCAAACTGCAGCTCAACCCTGCAGTTCTTTATTTCTTCAGAGTCCTCAAACCAGTGTTTCCATGAGGATGAAGCCAACTTCTCTGCTCACTGCTCCAGCACCTTTCTGTGCCCAAACCAATGCTGTCTCATTGGATCTTTCCTCAGAGACACGCAGAGACGATGCTGTACTTTGCAGTTGTTCATGCTATCAGTAAATTCAGTTCATAGAAAATAAGCTGGACTATATATTTTCCATCACTTCATCTCCCAAAAGACCCACTAGCTTTCCTTTAAATGCCTCGCTAATTAGAGGAGATTTAATCTGACTCCCTTTCCCCCTCAGTGATAATGGGTCTGAATGAAGCCTGTTTGCTTGCTTGATTTCCCTCATCTGCTGTTCATCAGCCATTCCTCATGAATTTTTACCCACAGAAACCATATTTTTCATAGATTGGCTCAGTGGAGAAATCCTTGGTTTTCAAGGTGAGGAATGTGACAGTGCCTGTCATGACTGTACCATGGTGTGCCTTCCCAGCTCTCACCAACTGCACAGCATGAATGGTGGAAAAAAGCCCTATAGAAAATATTAGGTTCATCTAAAGTTTTAAATTTGTAGTGCAAAGGCAAAGAGAGATTAGAACCCCTGTTCCCATGTAGATCCAGGGGCCTGTGGTTTAAGCAGCCAGCCCTCATCCCCCAACAGGCATCAGCAGTCAGGCAGAGCAGATGCCACCAGAGGGCCAAATTTTGAGCACAGAGGTGAGAATGTCTGCCCAGAGCTGTATTAAAGCTCTATTTTTTGTTGTTTTGGAACAGGCAATGGCCTTAACACATGCTGCTGCATGTGCCTTAGGTATCAGACTCTCTTGTTTTCCTACCAAGTGATGCAATTGTGTTTCTGCATTAGGCAATGGAGTTATCTTGAGATGTGCAGGAGTGATTAGTGGTTTTGAGTGCCAGTACTGGGATCCTGTGGGAAGTCTGGATGTTCCAGGAGCAGGTTTCTTTCAGATTTCTCAAGTCAGGCACAGGAAATTACTGTGCAGTTCACATCTGCTCTTAACCCTGTTGAGATCAAATTTGCCACGGATGTAAAAACAAAGAAAGAAAGAAAATAGCTAAAGCAAAGCCCTGCATCTGTGTTAGAAGGCTCTGCTCCCAGAGGTGTTGCTTTCAGTGCTGCTCAATTGAAACTCTACTTCTTGTTCTTGTAGAAGTCTGTGTGCTTATCATAGCACCCAAATTATTCTACTAAAATGAATTTTCCCACTTGTTTGGTCCATAGTGGCTTACTGTCCTATAAATACTACTGAGAAGGGGCAGGGCCTTTCAGTTTTTGACACCTTATCCACACCGTCAGATGCCACCAGTTTAATCTCTTTCCATTGCAGCCCATCTGAAAAATCTTTTGTAAGGAGCCTGCACACTTCCTATCCTCATGTACCGTGCTCAGTACATTTCCTTTCTTTGCACTTTGAAATCTAGAAGATAGTGTTAACACTTAAAATAAACGTGTGATAGTGGGTGCGAAGAAGGAATGGGGAGAACAAGTTTTCCGTCTGTCAAAATGAAGACATCAACCTCTGCTTTTATTTTTTTTGGCATGTGTGCTTTAAATAGAATGACTGGGTTGGGTGACTTCCAAGTGTTTGCTGCATTTGGCAATCCTTCTAAGTTGTAACAGATGAAGTTCTGCTGTTCCATATGATGTGCTCCTTCCCCTTTTTTCAGTGACTCCTTGAAACTCCTTGGGAATTCAGTGTAGCATTCACATCTGTTCCGTGGATGGATGTCCAAGGCTAACAAAATGCCTACTGGACTTGGAGGCAGCTCTGCCAAAAGCCATATGGTTGTGTTTTAGTTTTGTAAGCACAGTGCAGTAAAGAAAGGAGGTTGGGCCAAAAGAGAAGTGAGGGGAGGAGGGAATGGAGCTTCAGAACAGTAAATGAAGGTAACTTGTTATGATCTGGTGTTGGAGTGGGAAGATGAGAAGAAGAAGAAATAAAAGGTGTGAGCATAGGTTCCAGTATCAGTTGTTTTGAATCGTACGATGCTCCTCTCTGTGTGGTGAAGTTGACCACCACCTGAAGAAAGCATGTTTGGTTTTGTGTACTTTTCCAACATGCTGTAGCAGTCAAGATCATCAGATGCTTCCTTTTGGCCTTACAAGATGTGCATCTTTGCTGAGAACTGTGCTCAGAGCCCTTTTTGATTCACCTGTTGAACACCATGGGACATGGAGCAGCTGCTGATGCTTCTCTGAGCAGTCACCACCTAACAGCCACTTGGGCTGTTTCCTCACCAGCCTTCTTGGCCCCTGTAAAATGGCAGCTTGCAGTTTTAATAGCCATTGGACTTCTTTGTGAGAAAGAATATGCTTGTTATTTGTTGAATCATATTCTGATATTCTTGAGGAGTTTGGTTCATGAAGAGCTCTTACTTGCTACAACTTCACTTAGAGGCTTTGCTGAATGCTCTGTCCTCTGCACATCCTCCAGCATCTGCACAGTGGAAAACACATCAACTGATGTAGCATAAAGGCATTAGAGAGCAGTATGAAGACATGAAGTCTGATGCTTATCCTGAAATACCTTTTACTGAGGGTTTAAAAGATACTCTGCAGTGAAATCTAAATTTCAAGATCATAAGCAGAAAGGGGAACCTGACAGATGTAAGTTTTTAGGAGTTTTTAAGTTTTAGTGTAACGGTTGGAAGTGGTTTCCAGAAAAACTGCAGCATGTAGACTGGAACAAGGGTTCTTGTTTTATAGGTGCCTGATTTATGCATTTTTTGTCTTTGGAATTCTTTTCAGACGTTGTCACCAGTTCTGATTTATTTGTGTAGAGCAGTGCTAACAAGTGAACCGAGGCAGTCACCCCACAGTACAGGAAATTATCCAGGATGTGTCAAGAAGCAGACTTAACCTGTAGGCTCTTCAGTATCAGACAGACAGGACAGACAAGTGGTAAGAAAGAAAATAGGTCACTGAAGTGGGCTGATGGACATAGGAGAAAACTGAAACCCTAGCTACTCCTCTTTCTTCTCTTCCTCCTCTTCCTTTTCTTTCTTACCATTTTCTCCCAGGCAGATGCCACATGACTCAACCAAATTAATAGTTTGCAAGCTGTAGAGAACCTGCACTATCTCCCAATGAAACACAGCTGCCACCAAGAAAACTGTCATTGTGCTGCATAAAGATTTGGAAGCCAGTAAGATGGATTTGCAGGAGTGCCTCAGTTTCCCAGGAAATAGCCCCTTGACCTTTTGGTATTCCTAGTTACTGCATAGACTCTGAGTGTATTTATACACACGTGTCATTGCAGTGCTTTCCAAATCCTATTCCAAAGAAAAAATACTCTAAAATTCAAAGCAGTGAATGTAAGCAATGAAATTGCATTTTGGTGGAGCTTGAAGGGATGTACAATCTTTCCTTTGGGGAAAGGGGTGTGCAGTGTTTATGCACAAATACTGTTTTTCTTGTCAGCTGAAAGAGTGAGCATAGGTTATGAGGATGACTGGAAGCCTCCTAAGAGGGCATTTGTTCAGTACTGACCTAAAAGTAACACAGACACTTGTTCATCATTTAAAATACTTGTAAATAACAGTAACATAAGCTATAACTGGAGCTCATGAGCAACTCATCTGCTATCTGTTCCTATCCAAATATAATAGCAGGATGAACTCCTTTGCCTTTGCTAGCATTATATAGGTTTGACTGAAGTGTGTCCATTCCTTTTTTCCCCTGCATCTAAGCAAAAACTAGTGTTCTGAGTCTTTGCTTGGAACCAACCTCTGTGCTGGGTTTGGAAGAAATAATTTGTTACACATATGCAGGTGCTTTCCTTTTCAAAGCCTTACTTAGTATTGGTGTTTTGAGAGTAGTTTAGATTATTCATAGACAGTAAACATTGCTTCCCAATGAAGAGCACTCACATCTGAACCTTGAATCAAGAGAGCAGTTCCTGTCCCCCCTCTGTGGCTTCTTCTGAAATGCTTGAGTAAATTTAGTGTGTATTTAAGGAAGGGATCAGTTGGCCTTTTTTCAATGCTGCAGTAAGGGATCAGTTGGCCTTTTTTCAATGCTACACTGGGACAAACAAGTATCAGCCCATGTCCCACAGCTGTGGGGTTTTTGTGTGCTGTGTCTATAAAACGTTTCTGGGGTTGTCAGTTTGTGGTGAACAGGAGGAAGGTCTCCAGGAAGGCCAGCAGCAGTCACTCTAACCTGGGACTGGATGTCTGCTCTCCATCAGTGGAAGATATGTGGCCTGTTGGACTTGCTTCTCTTCCCCTCCCCTGTGTTCCCGATGGCTTGGCTCTAACACAGGCAATTCCCAAGTGCTTCTAAATGCTCTCAGCAACTTCCTTTCCAACTTCCAACCTCCTTCTGTTCACAGCTGTGCTGTCTTTATTCCTGTGTCCAAATGTAGCTGATATCTGTGGCAACAGCAGTAATAACCTACGTGGTAATACAAGGAGGGACAGCAGCAGGGAAATGGTCTGTTTGTGGCTACTGATCTTAAAGTGCTCTGAAGGGACTGATGTTTGACAAAAGCCCCCTGAAATGTGGTCCCTGTATGGGATGTCATGTAACTGTAAGTGTACATTGAAATTGCTAGAAGTCAGAGGGATTTTAAACACGTGCTTAATTTCATGTAGCTGACAAATGGTCTACACATGCTTTGTCCTGCTCTTCCCAGAACTGGAGAACTCCTATCTAGAATGATTTCTAATGCAAATTTTCCACTGATTCACCTTGTGCCTTGAGCTCGTCCCAGTGTCTTATTTGCAACTAACATTTATGATGTCTTTTTCTTCCTGTGTCAAACAGGGTGTCCCCACTGTAAAAATGCCATTCCACATTTCACAACTGCTGCCGAAGTCTTTAAAGAAGATCGCAAGGTAACTTGCTGTTAATTATTTCTGAGACTTTTAAGAATGTTTTCCACCATTTGTGCTTTATAGGCTTTGCTTATTGATAAGCTTGTAGATAGTGACAGGTGATAGGCTTGTCCATAAAACTGCTTTGGTGATAGGCTTGTAGATAAAATTGCTGTTACACTAATAGAAACATATGTGCATCTTAGGGGTTGTATCTTTTTTAGTCAAATTGAGTTACACTTTTAACCTATTCTATTTTCCTTTATTTGTTGTCTTCTATGTTTAATTCTTTGTGTAAGAGTTCTTTTCTATAAAGTGAAACGCAATTCTTTCTCATTGAGGGAATGAAAAAAGATAGTTTGCATCATCTCCATTCCCCTTCAACTCGTGTCAGCCGTTGGGGTGCACGTGGAGAAAACACAAGTTGTGTGACAGTCCTGAAGACCTCAGGCATGTAACTAATCCTTACTTACATCGCATAAATATATTTCTGTAAGTTGGCTGGCTTGAGCCCAGAATGTAGGGCCTTTCTAGGACCCTCATGCTTTGGCCTTGAAAATACATCTGATGGCTGAGCAAACAGATTAATTTCCTTGCATCAGCTGAACCATTTTGATTGAGTGCATGCAGATCCTGGGATTAAAAAAAACTACCTGCGCCCCTGGATTTAACCAGATAACTAGCTAGGAACCTGCTTGTTATCTTTCAGTGAACTGTATTTCATTCTGATCTCTGAGTTGGTTCCAACTTCACAATTGCTTTGTGTTTAGGTGTGGCATGGAAAAGATTTGGCAATTTAATAGGGAAATTGCTCTCTACAGGTTCCTGAGAAGCAGAGGATGTGCTGAGCTCTTCTCCCTGGTATCCAGTGATAGGACAGATAGGAATGGTTTGAAGCTGAGTCGGGGAAGTTCAGATTGGACATTAGGAAGCATTTCTCTGCCAAGAGGGTGGTCAAACCCTGCAACAGACTTCGTAGAGAGAATGTTGATGCCCTGAGCCTGTCAGTCTTTAAGGGGCATTTGGACAATGCCCTTCACAACACTCTTGGTCGGCCCTGAATGGTCAGGTAGTTGGACTAGATGATCTTTGTAGATTGTGTCCAACCGAAATAGTCTACTCTGTTCTAAATGAAGACCTAATTTTTTAACACTTATTCTCCATAACAGAAGAATTTTTGATATTTTTTTCTTTTCCTCTCATCTATAAGTCACAGAAGATGCATCAGATTGAGAAGAAACAAATCATTCTTGTATCACTAACTGCATGAAATAAGAAGTCGATCACTTCTGCCCTCTGGCACACAAAAGATTCAGAGGCATGCAGGTTATAGTTCTCTTACTCCTGTAAATTTGTTTGCTCAGATGCCTTTTGGGTACTTTTTTGCTTCCAAGATCTCCAAGAAAGTAACCTTGTTTTTTCACTTTTCTGGTACTTTCCAGTGAAGCCTCTCTTTCCTAAACTCATTAAAATTTCGGTCAGAGGAGATGAAGCAAATGTACCAAACAATGTGAAACTTGCTTATTAGAGCCCCAGGTTGTATTAACAAGCAGTCTGAATCATGGCACAGTTAGCTGGACGTGGTGGTGGTGGGAAATCCGGGCTTGGGAAGATTTTCCTTCAGACTGCAGGTTGTGAAAGGACTCCAAGAGCACAGCAGTGATTGACAGTTGCAACTCTTGACTTCAGTTTTAGGCTGAAGTGGGGAGATATAAAATGTAATGAGTTGGAACAGGAGAGCCTGTAGGGAATATTAAGGCTGGTACAGTTTTAAAGAGGTGTGTGCAGTTAGGGAGAATGATGTTATTCCACCCCAATGGCTTACGAAAGTGCCAGGGATTGATTATCTCGGGAGCCCTATTTAATTGTGTACAGCTATAACCTGCCAAGGTGCTTCTTGCTGCCAGTTTGTGCCATTGTGGAAAAGAAAACAAACCTGTTTAAGACTTTAGAAGGCACATCGCTGTTCCCACAAGCAGCATTGGGCATATTCCCATGTCTCAAACTGGACTGAGCTATCAAACTAATTTGTAGTTCTGTAGCGTTTCAAACTTCTGTAAAATTACTGCTTTAGAGGAAAGAAATATTTCTTCTTTCAAAAACAGGGCAAGATTACAAATTTTCATTTCTAGTAGTGATGTCTTTTCATTCCTTCATTTCTATAGTAGTGTCTTTTTTTTTTTTCTCCCTAGAGAAAGGTTTTTCACTTTAACAGAATATGGTAGCATTTACACTGTATCTTCTTTTCAATATGGGTGGTCGTTTAATTAAACATTTAATTCTGTAGAAGCCAAAGAACAATCAAAAACATTCCAGCCTTGAATCAGTTATAAATGGTATCTTAAAAGGTATCCTTTGGGAGACTTTGAGTCTTTACATTGGAATTTTGAAGACGAGCAGAGCTTGGAGCTGTTAAGTACGTGTCTTTGGCTCTGCAGATGGACTGTAAGGGGGTGGTTCTGGCACAGAAGCCCCTCTCCCCCAGGGCTGTGTGTAATGCTCTGTGCTTTTTCATCATCTGCACTGCTGGAGTTGGAGTTTAAAAATGCACTGCTCGGAACATTGGCCGCAAATGTCAGCTCTCATTGGCCACATCACTGCTGGTGGTTTTTGCAGGAATCCTGAGCCTGCTCACTGGCCTGGGGCTGTTGTGTGGCTGTTGCAAAACACAACTCAGGGTGAGACCCACACACCAGAGCCTCCATGTCCTTCCTTCTACCTGGAGAAATTCAGTGCCAGTAAGACCAGATCAGTGGAGAGGCTAGTTCAGTGACAATTAGTGTATTCTTTCAGTTATTTAAAAGGAACAAGGCAAAACAAAAAAGCCATCTGGAGCATTCTTGCCTCGGGGCACTGTGGTCTTTGCATACAGCTGCCAGGGGAAAGCCTTTGGCCTGTGCTCCACAGCTCCAGTTCTGGCAGTGACCAGTGTACGTCAGAAAATGCAAATGTGAGGATTGTCACTTTGCTGAACAGATTGAAGAGAAGGAAGGCATGTTTAGTAACTGCTCCATAGTCTCTTGAAAACTAAGTCTTTAAAAAAATCTGCATTCTGCCTTTTGGCTGATCCCTAAGTTCAGCTTGAAGGAACTGATTTGTGATGTTCCAGCTTGGATTTGCTGTAGGAAGGCTCTGGACTCCTCGAGGCCTCTCAGTAACAAATCTCTGGCACTCCCCAAAAGGAGCTGCTCTTTGACCAATCTTCTCCATTTTCACAGAAGACTGTTCCTGTACAAACACACTGACACAAATCACATCACCACAGCTGGGTTCTAGTGAGTTCATGCAGAAACAGCTGTGGCAGAGATTCTGGGAAGTGTGCAGCAAATAGGGTGACTGGGGGGCTAGGGGAGGCTGCCAGACATTGCTGGGTCCCCAGTGTGTATTGTGAACCATAGTTTAAGATCATTATACCAACCAAATGACTGTTCAGAGTTATCCAAATGAGTTAATATTTTACTTTGGCCAACTATTTGATCCTCATTTGCTTTAAAAGCATGTGTTGAATTTCTTTTTAATTAGACTCATTAAATATGGTGATGTTAGCACTGCACATCATGGTGCCTGCTAATGCCTCTTCCCTTTGCAAACAGACCTGCCTTGAGAGCAGCCAGTGAACTGCAGCTCTGGTGGTGCTGCCATGGCACATCTGGGCAACTAATAATGAATCTCCCATTTGTCAGGCCATTCACTTTGAGAACAGTAGCTGAATTGCAACAAGTTTTAGCAGACCAGCCCCTGACTCCTCTTAGGATCCAGAACAGGTGATACAAATAGAAACCTATGGAGTAATCATAGGGAGGAATGTGCATCTATCTTATTTATAGATGCTTTTAAGACATTTTGCAACAGCAGACTTTTTTTTTCTAGTAATCAGGTAATTGTCATCTGGAATTGACTATACTTTAAAAATGTTGCTTAGAAGCATTTATTTCCATGCTGCAGTTTTATTTTTTTAAGCCTATCAAATATCATTCCTCTCTCAAATCAATATTCAGTTAGTTATTCACTTCCATTTTCATAACAAAAGTCAATATTAGCTCTAGCAGAGATTTATTTCCTTGAATCAATAAACCAGAGTGTGGCAGTACATATTTTAACAGGAGAGCAACTAGAATTGCAGGGGGTATTTTTACTATATCATCACATCGTGACTGGGAGACAAACTGTTAAAAAGAAAGAGCTTTAAGAACAGAAAGGAGGAGTTACCTGGAAGGTCAAGGGATCCCACTTTCAATTTTCTACACATCTCTTTGAACTGTTTGATGTAATTGTGTTTCTTACCTGTAAGATCTCTCTAGAGCAAAAAGTTGTTTAGTAATTCTGTTGGAAAGAAACTGCGATTCCTGATGGATGATTAGATTATACTGCAAGTACTTCTTTTTCCTTCTAACACTTAGACAGTAAAAAAAATAAGGCATCATCCTTCTGTTACAGTTGAAGCACAGGCAGATCAGTGGTCACATTTTCAGCATAGCTCCACTTCTATTTAAGCACCTAAATCAAAAGTTCTGATTTTTGCAACAGCTCAGCGTTTGTGATCAGACCACTTCATGTGAGAAATATGCCATGCTCTGTCTAGTTTAAGAACACTTCAGAGCTGGTTATACACTGCTCATGTTCTAATGCCATGCAGAGTTCAGTTTGCAACTCTGTAGTAAAACTCCTGGTTTTTTGGTAAAACCATGAAACCTTGTTGTGGGACTTCCCTTTTCAGGTAAAGGTATTTCCAGTCCCAGATGTTGCTAGAGTCACATTAAACTATGGTGACTATGGAGAAATGCATATTTATCTGGTGGGGTTACTGTTGTTGCTGTTATCATTATTATGCATTATTATACATACTCACCTGATACTATTAATTATTATAAGCTGCATAACAGTTGTGAGGAACTACCAATAACATTTTAAAGGTTGAATGTACCCCAGGAAACTTCCTTTGGGGTCTGCAGTCTCTGATTATCTTTTCATTTGATAACTATTCTATTCCTGCTACAGCTGCTGAACAGGATGGTGATAGACCTAAACAGCATTGCCTCTGGAGAGAGAACTTGTATATAATGATGTATTGTCAATATCTAAGGCAGCACAGCTTTGGGTTATAGAGAATCCATAATCCTGTGGAGTTTTGTGCATGTTGCAGGTACAGCACTTAAGGTTTTTTCTTCCTGAAATGTTTTTTCAGTGGATTTTTCCCTCTGGTTACAGGAAAGCTCAATAAATTAAATTTTAACCCTAACAATCAAAATCTCCATAAAATCAATCTTGTCTTCTGAAAGCTGTTACACTGGATTTTTCCATAATGGACAGACATACACACAAAGTCTTAGACCAGTGTTAGGAGGATTTCTTGCTCTCACAGATTTTTAGAGGTTTGTTGGGTTTTTTTTCCTTCTTGATGAGAAGGAATTCATGAGAGGTGATGCCAAGTCTCTTGGCTCCTGGATATGTATTAGGGATGTCTTATGCTTAATCTGTCTGCAGTTATATAGGTCTTGCTAATCTGTGCTTTATTGTGAATTTCTGTGTAACTTGTTGCTGGTAGCTGAATATGAAGATCAGTTCTGAGAGTAAGAGTCTCCAGAAGTCTTTAGCCACATTTTTACTGGTTTTTTGTTGTTATTTTTCCCAACTCAGTTTCCTTTTTTTAGTGATGCACAAAAACTGATTGTTGCTAAGGGGATTGAGAATGAGAGGAGCCCTTCCTACAATGTACCACTGCTCACTTCAGCCAAGACTCAAGCAAAGCTTTTCTTTTCATGGGCTGCATCATTTTATGTGCAGCCTTTCAGTGCAGCCATGCAGTAATTCACTCTGACTCAAAACTGCAGTAGGACACACCTCCACCAGGAATGGAGTTTAATATTTACAGTCCATGAAAACACAAACAGAAAGAAGCCAAGGGCATCAGTGCTGGGAGCTGAAATTCTGGTATGCCTCAGAGTTCAGCTGTCTAGAGTTGATAGAATTGAGATGACAGTTGGGTCCTCAGTCCAGAAGTGGGTTTTGCTACAAGTGTTTTCCAGCATTACTTTCCTCTTCTTGAAGTGCACTATATTTGATCTTCCGCTGTGAGACAGGCAAGACAATTAGGACTGTGATGCTATGATAATGAGTGCATAGAGATGGTAGCAACCTCTATATTTAGGCTGCCTTAACATTTCCACTCTAAAGTAATCACTCAAGCTCTCCTAAGTACTCTTACTCAGCCCCTGTTGGCAGCAGGCATTGAAATGCAGCCTCAGATAGTCTTGGGAATTAGATGTGTCTCTATGAAATTTTGCTCACGTCTGTATGAGTTCCAAGGCTTTTGGAAATTGCCATTTCTCTTCTCTCACTGGCTGTAAAAATAACTGAACGGGTGTGTATGTTCTGAAGTGATTGGGCTCAAAATGGTGCTTGCAGGAGCAGTGGTGAGTCCATGGGGCTGTGTGGGAGTTTGCTTTAGGAGCATTGCAGAGAAAGATAGACCATGGACATGGCTTTCAAGCACTGCTCCAGATGTATGTGTCCCTCTCCATTAGACCCCGAAGATTAGATGTAGCATTAGGCTAATGTGGCTGCAGTGGACAGACTTAGACTGGGATCTTTGTGTGTTAGTTCAGTGCACAACTAATGCACAGCTTAGGTTTGCATGTGCTGCAGAGTAGAGCTGTATCTCCAGCAGGCTACTAAGCATTTCTGTCAGAAGCCAACTCCTTATAGTCTATCAGCATCTGTTTTGAGGCAACAGATAAAGATGTGCTGAACAGAGTTAGGAGTGGCTTGTAGCACTGCATTCCTTCACTGCACTTTCTCCTCACTGGGGGCTGTTCTTAAACCAGTATTTTGTAAATGAAATTGGGCTCTTTACTCCAACCAATGCCAGTTTAGATGTTTCCAGAGAGGTACAGATAAATAGAGCTTCACTTCTTTCTAGTGTACTAAAAACTAATTTTCTTAATCTCACTGTCCAAGAACAGATGGGTCATTGGTCACAACAGTTTCATGGCTCAGACCAGTTACTAAGATCTGTATGAGTGCATGTACACCTTCTCCTTTTCTGGCTGTAATCTCTCCCTGTGTGATATTTACAGCAGTGAGAAAAAATATTTTATTTATTCTTCCAGTTTCCAGGGAACCAGGACTTCTAGTATTCTTTCTACATTAATGCTGTGTCATGAAATAAATGTTTGTCTCCATTGTAAGCTTTCCTTTACACAGAAATAGCCAAGAGAGCTCTAAATTTTGGCTGGCTGCTAAGGTCAGGAAGGCATAAATACTTAGATGAAACTCTTTTGCAGTTTATTATTCCTAACCTTTCATTTTAACTGGCCCTGAATGAGTAGGAGTCTTTGTGTTTACAAAAAGGAAAAAAAAAAGTGGGATTATACGTGTTTTTAACTGCTCTCAAGAGTCCTGGTTCTGTAACAGCCTTATTAATGATTAAAATGAGAAAACTGAAACCAAATATTTAAGGTGAGAACACTGCTCACTTTATCTAGTGCTTCCCATCTGAAAATAGACCCAAGTAAGGTCTTACTGAGTATTGTCATGTCAGGCTTTCAAAGCCAAAACAAAACAAGCAAATTAACTCAAGTTGGCTTTGCCAATCTCTTTAATTACTGCTAGAATAATGAGATCAGGTTTTCTCATTTTGACAGTGTCACCATGAAACAGGAGGGCATTGTGGAATATTAAGTGATCTTTTAATTATGGCAGAACAGTTCAACCACAACCCTGAAGTCATGCAAGCAGAAGGTATTTTTGATCAGATTGTTTGAAGGAGGCTCATGGAACGGAAATTTCAAGTTAAGATGTGTCTGCTATGGAATTAGCACTTGATAAATTGTAACCCACAATTGCAAAAAAAAATCGTACCTCTAATTTGTTTGGGTTTTTTACACAGCTTGTACTTCAGCCTACTTGCTCTTCAGCAGAGCTGTCCCAGGCTGTGAAGGCAAGACTGTGTGACCAGCCTACGTTCAGAGCCTCAACTGCTGCTCGTGGGAACTGTCGGGGTGAAATCACAGCACAGAGCTCAGTTGCTTTGAGTAGAAGCTTATGAATTTCATTTTATTCCAACAGCAGAAATGTCAAGGGCAGCCCCTCCTCAGTACTTCACAGAGTCAGGTTTCAAATATCCAGTGCTCTAAACTAGAGTTACCCTGAGCTGATGCTCTGGGGCTGTGAGCTGCACTCCTTGCCCTGCCTGTGTGGAAGCAGGAGGGACAGAGTGTGTTGCTCGGCTGCCAACAGGCTGAGAGCACAGCAGGCTCTTTCCTACACAGGGTTTGTTTGTGTGACAGTAGCATCTAGAGGTTTCGAAAGGAATTAAAGCCCACTTTGTTAATGGCTGCACATAAGATACAGTCCCCTCCTTAAAGGACAGACTGAAAAAAGACAGGAAAGAAAACATAATACTAGGCTGAAATTGTGAGCAAGTGAGCAACCTTCTTCCCTACCTGCACTGGTTGGTAGGCAGTGCTCTGACCTCTCATCCATCCCTGTCTGACCTTGGAAGAACTGCATGGAGTTTACAAAAGCTATTTGGGGTAGAAATCATTAATCTATTCATAGCCTGCATAAGAGACCAGCCATGTTTGGTAACTTTTCCGAGCCTCAGCCGTGCCACAGGAAGGAGGTTGGGTTTGGCGGGTCGTTACCATTACCAAAGTCACCCTGTCCCTGTTCATCACTTAAAACCAAAGTGGAGGAAAAATATTGCAGCATGACAGAGTTGGGACCACCATGCTTGGATTTGGTTTGCTAACACAGACTCTGGATTTCCTGTTTGGAGTCTAATGCAGAGCTCAGAGGGAGGCGATTTTCTGCTCGGAGTCGAACGTGCCATGCAGCTGTGTGGGGCAGGTGCTGTGTGAGCAGCACTTCACTGGGAGGGAAAGGCTTCTGCTCTTCCATTTGCATGGCTTGACCTGATGACCACTCTCTGATCTCCCTCCACAGCTGAGCCATTACAGAAGACGTTGCGTGTTTGGCAGAAGGCTTGGGGGTCTCTTAGTGTTAAGGCTAAGCTGCAGCAGCATCACCATGAAATAGTCTTGCTTTGTCTGCTGTCTCAGACTGATCTCTTGTGTTTCAGATTGCCTACGCTGCAGTGGACTGTGCCAAAGGACAGAATCATGACCTGTGTAAGCAGGAGGGGGTTGATGGCTACCCCACCTTCAACTATTACAACTATGGGAAATTTGTGGAAAAATATACTGGAGAACGAGGGGTAAGTGAAAGCAAGAGCCATTACCTGGTACAGGGAGCAAAGTCTCCTCTTGTGCACTGCCTTGCAAATGAAAACTGCGGAGTAAATTTTTACCAGCCTGGAAGAATGTTTAACTGCTTCTGTTACTGTCTTACATGGATGAATCATTGTGTACCACACCCCTGTACATCTCTGCATTAGGAACATACTTGATCTATTTTTAGCAACGAGAGAAGAGGAAAAAGGATTAGATTTGGTAATGCTTTTTGTGTATTTTATTCTTCAAGCTGAAATCTGCAAGTGAATTTGGACTGAATGAACGTGAAGGGTTTACTGCATGGGCTGCTGCTAAGTGCAGAAATGCCAGAAAGTACAGGCCTTACTCGTGTCAGTTCTGGATCGTGTGCACACTGCAAACGTGTTACAGGTCCACCAGGCTGCCAAATGGTGACAGGCCATTGGTTTTATAGCTGGGACAAAGCTGTTCTTTGGAGACTGGGGGAAACTAAATGTCTCATTTGCCCTGAATCAGATTCATTCCTGGCACTCAGGATGGGAAGACAAATTGTGCCATCTATCCCTGGGCTGAAGTTTCATTCTTTTGTCCTGCTGTGGCCAGCTAATTATATGCTATGAGTGCAAGAAATGGGGGCAGAAATGGCATAATGCCTTCTGTGGTTGTAAAGTGCCTGAAAATGAGGGAGCAATTCAATTATTTGTGTGCCTTCTTTGTCATAACCTCCTAGAGGGAGGTTACTCCTCAGCAGCGATTGATTGCCTGGAGGAGCTGTGGGTCTGCAAGAAAAACTTGGGATGTTTAAGCTTTCTAGTGATTTTGATGAGAGATTCTTGCCTGAAAGTTATTGCTGCTATTACAGCTCACCAAATTATATAGAAGCATGAAGAAAAAAGCCAAATTCTGAGGTTCTCTGTTAGTCAGGATCCCAGGGAAGTCTTCATGGAGTTTTGCCTCCCAGTTTCCTTCAGCATACTCAGACCCCAGTAATTACCATTTTATGGTGCTGATCCAGGCGTTGTTATGGATACTGTGTTCAGTTCCAATTCTGGATCTTTTCTCAAAAGTAAAGATGGGTGCAGTAGCCAACAATTAAGTAAAATTTCAGCTGCAGTTCTTGCATTTAACCCATACTTACAGAAATGATACACGAAAGGAGGAATCTGTGGTGGCTGATAAAAAGTATTTGTACACAATACAGGAGACCTCTGAGGCCACAGCAGTTGGGAGATGTTTATCCATGTACTGGAAAGTGGACTAACTGATCCCCTACATGCAGCCAACCCTTTCTTGGGCAGAATTAAATTAGGCAACAGGAACGTCAGTCCCTGTGCTGCTTGCAACTGTGTTCCCCCTTCGCAACTCCTGGGACCTATGGTCTTCTGCTTAGGGTTTGTTACCTCTTATCATGGTAATGCTGGAGGCAGTGCTTAGCACAGAGCCTTCCATGGCTTCCAGGTCTGTTCACAGATCTCTTTCAGTGACAAGGGATTGTGCTGTGAAAGGACTTCTCATCAGCATGACAACATCTTTTGAACCACCTTGGCCAACCACCTTGTACTTTACAAAAGAAATCTCAGGAGAGAGCAGTGGAAACCAGGGGACCTGCTTTCTGTTCCTGATTCTGGCACTAAGTCAGTAGATGTCCATGAGCATTTAGTTCAGCATGATCCATCTGGTGTATCATTATTTCACGTGGGCAAGGAAGAAGAGGGGTCTTGTGAGCTGCTGTGGGGACATCATGACATGCCACAGCAGGAGCCATGGCCTGTAGAGCATGAGCTCTCAGCTCCTTGCCACCCCACACTGGAGCACTGGCTATGTGGAAGAGCATGACCCCCAGTCATAGCCTGTCAAGGGAATTGCAGTTCCAGAGTACAGATTTTAGGGCATTTCACCCCAAGCAACTAAAGCAAGAAAGAGTCAGGACACTCTCTGACCCAAGTGTACTTCAAATGATGCACAGCTTTGAAAACTGGAGGCCTTTCATGGGGGCTGCTGATTGGCAGATGTCTCCAGCTGCTGTGGATGAAAATTGTCACTTCATTTATTTTCAGTGGAAGAATAGTGAAGAGTTTTAGAAGAGTGTTTTGTTGTTCAGCCTTCTGAAAACTTTTCAGCCTTGCCATTTGATTTTGGTTTATTTTGTTGTCTTTGTTTTGTTTGGTTTGGTTGTTCCCCAACATTGTTTTAAGTCGAACTTTGACTTCTGTTTGTTGATTTCTACCTCTTTGCATTTCCCCTCTTCATCACCAGTTTTGACTGGTGTGTTTTGGAATTGCTTAAAAGTAAAAATGGTCACATTGGCTGGGAACAGTGTTACCTGCCCAGACACCTGTAGTGTTGGGGTACCAGTAGACACTATTCCAACAGAGGTGTTGACACCTCCACTCACCTGAGCCTTTTGAAATGCCTGTGAGCTGTGTTCAGAGCTTTTTTGGGAAAAAGGAAACTGCTGGCGTCCAGCAGTCTTAGATAATGAGAAATGCTAAGTTGTTGAAATACAGATGTTGGATTTGGCATCCAGGTTTGAAATTGTTTCACAATAATTTTGATAGTAACTTGAAAAAGAGGAGTAATTTCCATCATTGGAATGTTTTGAAAAGGAGGAAAATCATGATCAAAACTGTTCAGGGATGAGGAACAGTGGCAAATGTGTGTATAGCCAACAAATGATCCACTAGCTGCTTTTGAAATGACACAGGTAGCATACAAATACAGCTTGAAATTGTCTTGGAGTGTTTTCAACAAAAAGGCATCAATGGCACTTCTAATGACAGATTTTACCTTATCCTGTGAGGTTTAGGTCCTTTTTCTCTGTCCCCCATCTCTTCAGTGTTTGACATGTGGAGTGTGCTTGGAAATTTTCCCCTTGCACTGCAGCAGAGCAGTGCTGGACCAGGGCACGACAGGATGAGGCAACACAGGAGCAGCAACTGCTCCTTGGTTTATATTCTGCCGTGGGGTAGAGAAGCTAAACAACTGCTCCTTAGTTTATATTCTGCTGGGATGCAGAAACTCAAAGTGTTCTTGATGCATTGTTTTGGCTTGTTTGTAAAAATATGACCCATATTTTTCTTCCTTCAAAACCAGGAGTCTGGATTCACCACTTTCATGCGAACCCTGAGAGAAAGAGACCATGAAAGAGTAGGAAAGAAGAAGGATGAATTGTAGTTTCTGCCTCAAAAGAAGCTTTCCGCTGCACTGTGAATGGTTCCAGGTCTTTTATTGATGCACCTGAGACTTCACATATTCTCAAGACAGAGACTTTTTTTTATAACAGCCATGGCCATTTTGTACAATTTTGAAATAAAATGAAACCACTTGATTTTTAAATGGAAAATAAATTAGAATGTTGCCATAATGTTTTAAAGAAAACTTAGCATTTTCTCTCATGTTGGGAGACTATGCCCACTGACACTCCTATGCAATATTTTTGTAGTCTGTAGTGTGTCTGTAGGTGATGTTGTTTGTTAGGGTGAATTTTTTGTTAAGGTATTGCAGTACATGTTAAAAGCAAAGGGGAGGGGACATGGTTTTGTTTTGTTTAAATCAGTGAAGGAAAATGGGATTTATAAACCACAGATTTATCCAAATGCAGTTTTACATTCTTGTGAAATACATGTTCTTGAGTGAGATTTGGGGGAACAATTTTAAGGTGCTCAGGGATAAATAAGGTATCTGAGTTAATGAAGACATTAACATTGACCAGTCTAGATCTGATAATTTAATTTAAATCTCTCTGGTCTTTAAATCAGAACTGTTTACATACCTTTATAAAATATATTGAGTGAATTAAGCCAAGCATCAAAAATCAGTAGAGCATGGGTAAAATTAAACCCTCCTTTTTTGGCATCAGTGTTGTCAAATGCATCTGTAAGTTGTGGCAGGAATGACTGTCTTCTAGGGGTACATGGTTACCCTTATAGGGTACATAATGTCCCTTCAAATTGGGTATAAATGCATAATACTTATGACAATGCAGTAATTATGTGTATTACCTGTTTACATTCCAACAGTTTATTCGTAGGAGGGATTTTTCCTTTTTGCTCTTTAAGGAGTTGCACAATCAATCTCTCTCCGATGGTCATCACTGTAAAACCTGTATCAGCAGCAGCTGAAATGTGTTAACACTCTTGATGCTTAAAAAGTTGATCTGGAGGTACTTATGTCTTCACAGGAGGGGAGGGGGGAGGGGCAGGGAGTTGTGATTCACTTTGAAGTAAAAATAAATTTTAAAAACGACAAGTATTTTTATCATTAATCAGCCTTGTTCAGCTTCTTCCCCACTGAGTGAACAACTGTACTTGGTGGTGGTTTAGGTTTTAGGTGGTGGTTTAGGTTTTAGGTGGTTTACCAGTGCACACAGGAAGGTGCCACCACCCTTGGCTGGGCACAGCCTGGTGTGGGGTGTGCTGGGCAGTGCTGCAGGTGTGTGGTGGTGTGAGGGTTGGCCTCCCTGCCCTGGCACTGGGTGGGGAGACAGAACAGCTTTTTACAGCAGAGAGCTGTGCCTTGGGCCTGAAACTTTCCTCATGCTCCTCAGTCTGCCCATCTCATTTCCTTTTGCTGGTTTGGATCCTGGGTGCAGGCCATGCTAGCTCAGAGCTGGGCTTCTCTGGAGGTGAATGGCATCTTACCCCCTTCCTGGATATTTTTTCTTGCCTAATTAATGGTACTGTATATTTGGCACTCGTTAAGCTGCAGGAGCCATTAGTGAGTATTGTGGAATACTGGTAGCCTGATTGACCTTGTACAGTAGCCAGCTTGTTAACCATGGCATCAATTGGAACGATGATGGAGCTGTGCCAAGTGTCTTCTCTTATTAGGCACCTGATGAGTCTCTTCCCTCAAAAAATCAGCTGCCCGGTAGTACATAATATCATAGTGTAAAAGTAGCTTAATTTATTAAGTCTCTTACTGTGGGTTTTTTTCCCTTTCAGTTAGCATAGTTAGTCCATATCATGTGTAGCACTTTTGCAGAAGACCATGGTAATTCAAGCTATCCTTGCATTAGTAGCAGGCACTCTGTCCTGCTTTTAGGAAACAATACACATTGATGCCATTTGATCTCAAACAGGAATTCTTCTGTGTACCAGCAAACGACCAAGTATGATGAGTCCAGAACTTACTGAGCTTTTTTTTGATCTCAGAGTGAAAGCAGCTGGCACTGAAGAAATAGTCTCCAGAAAATGCTGAGCATTTCTGTGCATAGGCTGTGCCTATGTTTGTGCTAATTGGTGAGAAATGTAGACTACTTCTTCAAAAAAAAGAAAGATAAAAATCATAGCTTGCCAGTGGTGACATCACTAGTTGGGATCATTCTGAATTATAGGCTTTAGTAAATGTTTAGGATAAGACAATTGCACACTGTGCTTCAGACCAGTAATTCCTTACAGCTGGTTACACCATAATAAAATTAAGGATTCTCATTTTTCCCTTCAGTCTTTTGTCAGTTACTTCTTGGACTTGGGCATTCATTTTTTTCTTCTCTAATCATGTGTTAATGCACAAATATAAAATATTTGAGAATAATTTACCTTCTCTTACAGGGTCACGACTCATCTGGTTTATGGTCTGAATGGTTTTTGAAAAATACAGTTTTGAACACCATAAACGATTACATCAAATGGCTGACAAAAGCCTTAGTTACTGTGAACTAGAGTGTACCAGGAGCTCAGAGCTTTGCTTTCAAGCCCTTTTAATTAGTAGACCAGGACTGGGTATCAGTCACACTGTTGTAATTCTGTTGCCTCCAGTAAAGCAAAAGTTGGTGTTTATCTTTTCTAGTGAAGTCAGTTTATGTTTATATTTGCATCAGTCGAGATTTAAATATTGTATTTTTTTTCTACAAACTGTGAATGAAAAGTATCTCATATGTAAGAACTCTTATTTTCTGTAATTAAATGGTTGGTCATTTCACACATTCAGACTTCCCAGCCCGTGGCAGTAGATGCGTAGCCCAGGCGTTCATAATCACACAGGAATTTCTGCCATGGTTAAAAGTGAGTAATCTGGGCTTTCAAGTCATGAATCATTTATCAGCAAGAAACTTAATTGCTGATAACAAATGGTTTGCAGTGAATCAGAGATTCTGCTCTCGCAATTATGGGCTTGGTCTTTCAGCTTTTTTAAGGTGTGATTCAAAGGTCTTGGACATCCACTACACAGTTAACCCTAAGAAGATTAAATCTTGTTGAGGAAGGGTAAAATGTGTACACAGCAGAGAGGCTGAGCAAAGATTGTGCATCACTTTGTTCCTCAGTGTTGACTTAAACAAGCTATAAATAGCCCACAGGGCTGTGTTAGTCCTGCTGTGTGGCTGGACCTGAGACGAAGGGCAGCAGGACCAAGTGTTTTGTGCAGACCAGAAGCAGCTGGATAGGAAATGGGTTTCCCATCTAATGAAAAATCCTGAGATGTTGGATTTGTTTCATCCACCAAAAGGAGGAAAAATGATCCCTGGAGAGTGAATGCTCTGGGAAATGGGAAACACAGTTTGGAGTCCCAAGATAAGCATAAGCTTATATCCCAGTCCCTGCAACCCAAGACAATTATTTGGCTCTGTTGTAAAAGGCTTATCTATCTATCTATGACCCAATAACAACATCCTTACTTGTTCAAACTACAGCAACTCCTACAAGAGAGGCTGGAAGAGAACTTGCTTTCTAATCTGAATCAAGAAAAGCAACCTAGCAGATTTCCATTTCCTCTTTCCTCCCCCTGTAGAATTGCCTTTTGGATCTGACAGCCCCATTCACCCCCAAGCCCCTCCTAAATAGTTGCAGTTGGGTGACACAGACTTGGGAGTTTTTCTAAACTCCCACTCACACCAAATTAGGTCCCCAAATCTTGCTGACTTAAAATTCGCATAATAGTTATCCCCAAAGATAGACTGATATTAATGGTGAAAAAAGATTAGAGAGGTAAAGTCTATGTTCTTAAAGCATTTAATTTGGGAGTAAAAAAATGCAGATACAACTCCCATCATGAGTAAGCTCCAAGAGAATGCTTCAGAGCCTTGTTTCAGATGGAATTGCTTTATGGGTGATTCTGATTTTAGAGGCAAACTGCTTTTCAAAAGAAAAGTCAGGACCTGTAGCCTACAGATGTTTTGTCTGTTTGCCTTTTAAAAAATAAAAAGCAAAATCACTCTCCATATTCTTGATAGTGCTATATTACGAGAAAGAAATGTTGCCTACATGGATTTCCTAGAATAACACTAAACCTCTGCCAACTGCATTTTACAAACTATGAAACAAGCCATTTGCTCAAAACAACACTCAGGGGAGTGAGGACTGCTGCCCACGTGCACCTCATTTTAATTTAATAGGCTTACTTTAGTGTGATTTGGTCTGTAATGGTACTCTGGGATTTGCAGGAGTGAATTGTGAAAACTGAGAGGTGGGAGAAATCAGCTTTTATCAGCAGGTGCTGAGCACTGTGGCCAAATTCTGGCATTTCCTTTGCCTTTGGCAGCCCAGCATCCCTGAGCACTCCCTGGAACCACAGAGTGCAGCCCTTTGGCTAATCCAGTTGTGTACATAACTGCTCTGTGCTGGAACTGATCGGAAACCAAAATTCCTCCCGTTATTTTCTTTTGTCATGAGAAGATGCTGCGATTTCTCTGTGCATCCTTCTTTTATTTACCGATTAAGGAAGGAGGGTACCTGGGTGTCTGTGCAGGAAATGACTCCAAATGCCATTATATCTGCTGGCAACCAGGATTCCTGGGGACTGACCAGTGCTGCTGAAACAGTCCCTGCAAAGCACCCTCGACTGGCTTGGCTTTTCCAAGGTTTTGGCAGGCACTGTGTGATGCAATATTGCAAAAAATCTCAGTATCTAGGCAGCGATTTCCAGCCCCTGGTTTCCGAGGAGTTAAGCTGAAGTGTAAACTCTGTATTCATCAGCCCAGTGTAGCTGTTTTTGAGATCAGAAAAAAAGATGGTCTATTAGCCCGAAGTTTAGGCAATCACAGGTCTAATGCTAGCCCATAATTAAAGCCAGGAGGATGTCTGAGTGTTTCCACTCACCTGCAGGTCCTTGGTTTGTAAGATTCCTGTCCCTGGAATTTCTCAGTCTTCCTGCCCAGAGCACTCACCACTCCTGCAGGGAGACAGTTCTCCTTAAGGAACAGTTACTCTGTGTTTGCTTAGAAAGCATCATAGTGCTAATTATTCTCATTAGCTTTGAGCCACTAATAAATTATCTTTCCTATTGCTCTTCCATCACTCAGTAATGAGAACCATTTAGCCAGATTTTGCAGATACTGCTTGCTCCCTCCCTCTCTCCAGCATGATTCCCTGCAAGCATTCATCATAGGAAAAGAGCTACGTGAACAAAATCTTTT